TCCATTGCCGGGGTCATGCTACGTGCCAGAGCATGGAGCTGAAGAAGAGAAAGCAGATAGACTGGCACGAGCTCATCTATGTGGCTGGCGCTGCTCGCCTAACAGGCTTTAAATACATTGGTGACTACCCCTCTGAGTCAGTCCTCCTGTAACAATATAGTCGGGAGGATTGGGACGCTTTCACTATTACATTTTTAGTTTTGTTGAATTTGAATGCGCAATGATGTTTGACTGGTTATATATAATGCAGATATGAACAAGTTGCAAAACTTCTGAGAAGCACTGGTTCGTATGGCTTCTGGTGCAGCTGTAAAAAATAATTGGTGATGACTAAAAGCTGTCCGATTCCACCTGCCTCTGTGGGTGAAGTGAGACATCACTTAAAAAGATTAGGACCTATGTAATGCAGTGGTTTCTTCATCAAACATTGTAAGCGATAGTTCAACATAAAACATTAAAAGGGGGTTGCACAAACTTTGTTGCACCGATAGCTTTTGACACTGGCTGCTTGATCACATTTATGGTAATTGATGAACCACCCATGTCTTTCTGAAAGGAAAGAACTGAGGGTTCTTCGTTAGAGACTGCGCACTGATGCTGACTTTTTATTACTGCCCTTGATTCTAGTGATGTAATGAACGCAGGTTGCACACGGGTAATGTGCAATAAGCAGGCCCACTCGTTACGCTATTCGCATTGTGCGACGACTTGTTGTTCTTTCGGTGCTGTAAAACGCTTTATAAGTCGTATTAACGCGATTGCTTTCCCAACATCAAGCCTGCCTAAGGCAAGTTTGACAACAAGTCATAAGCACTGGTGTAGCTCAGTTGTAGAATACTGGGCTGGCACCCAGCGGACTCGGGTTCGAGCCCCACTGTGCCATTGACGCGATTTTTTTTTTCCCTATTTCGCGCAATGTGGTTACAAACACTGCCAGCGGCAGCGGACAACATGCAACTGAGTGTGACCCGAAAAGTGATCTCATAACAGCTTTCGCTGTAATATGCATACAGGAAGGCATAAACAGACCTTGACACCCCCCACCAAGCGCGTAATTAATAATCCTGTAGATACGTAATCTCAGCATCTGTGAGAGCGATTGAAGGTTGGCTTATGCAACTGTCTCTAGCTTTTATGATTTCATGCACTTCGGCAATTTCATGCATGCACTGGTCTCTGTGCCTCATTAATACAGTGTGCCTCATTAATACAGTGGTTAATACAGAGTGGTCTCTGTGCCTCATTAATACAGTGCACTCGACTGTGCAGCCGCACTGCCGGCATTGGAGGGCAAGATGTTTGGATGGTGTATCTTTCAGAGAGCTAGCACGCTCCTTTAGACGGACTTTGAGGCAACGTCCCGTCTGCTTAATGTCCATGCACCCGCTTGTACAATTTTCAATCGGTCGTACAGATGCTTAGATTACGTATCTACAGCATAGTTGATTACATGTCTTGGGGGGGGGGGTGTCAAGGTTTCTTTATGCTTTCATGTATGCATATATATGACACTTTTATTCCATTAAACTTTCAGTTGTTAGCGTTTTTTGTTGTGCACTTTGATGTTTTTTTTTTTTTCCTTTTTGTGCGCGCTGATCGTGATGAGTATGTGCCAAATAGCTCGATTTGCCACTTTACTGTTCCCATAGCGCTCCACGCACCCACAGGGTATTCTGGGATTAGTTGGAAAAGGTCTGTATTTATACATACTTAGCCAACTCTCGTTTGGTAGCTGGCAATGAACGACTTGATGCGAGTATTGGAGACAGTGTTCACCATATAAGTGTTCAATATATATAGTTCAATACACTCCAGCCAGTAGGTATGAATGCTTCTAAAGGGGCTCTTAAATCCATTTGGTATGGTACATACACAACGAAAAGCTACTGCGAGTTGCCTTGAACTTGCCATTGTTAACTACTAACGACCAGTTCGACAACCGGGATTCACGGACACGTGTACATTTTCACCTCCCCATGTTTCTTACTTATTTTGTTTCTATTTACAAAACACCTGTTCCATCCTCGCTTATAGAATTCGCCACAGTCCCCCTTTCCCCGCTCTCACACCCAAGTATCCAATGTTGCCCCCCCCCCCCTCCATTGTTAGGATGAAGGAGAGGGTACGAAGTGTAGACACGCAAGCGCTAAAGAAATTAGTTTTATTCTAGCCTTGATGAAGACAAGTCCACTTGTCGAAACATCGGCTCGACAGAACCACTGTTTACGGTTTTTTCATCGCAAGCTTCAATGTTCCCCTTCCTACCATTATGTGGTGGTTTGTCACTCACCTGTTGCCTGTCGATGTTTGCCAGAATACAAGAATTAAAAGGCCCATTATTCCGACGAGTTTTGGCGCGGCGTAGAGTGAATGCCACATACCATGACCAAATAACATTTCTTCGGCAGTAGGATGGCAAAAGAAGCATCTGAGGTCCCATCACGGAGAGCTCAGCTGAGGTGGCATACTTTCAGTGGCTTGGTGGAACACGCACCAATCCTAAATTTGATCAGGATGATGTATTCAAACCCAGCAACTTGCATTAATATTTCCAGCCGTCGCCTTTCTAATGTTTCCTTGCTCAGAAGTACAAAATTGACCGCTGCATAAAAGTACAGCCACTCGTAAATAGCTCAGTCATGTTTTTTTCCTTGTTTTTTGTGTTTAGTAGTGGCCGTATATGGTTTGAAATGAGCTATCAAAGGTGTGCTGTAGAAGCTCATGTTGACGTGATACCTATTCATTTTCTTGGAGGCTGCTCTGATGTTTTACTTTATATAAAGAAAACAATGCACAACTTTCTTGCCTGTGTAACGTAAAGGCGGAAAGCTGCCGCTGCGTGAAGCTTGCGGATCTAAACAAAGCAGTGCTCCTATCTGCGTAGTCCTGTTGCGTAGCAAGGGCAGCTCAGGTGTACTTCGCAGTGAAGATATGTCCCTCACGCTGGTTTTAGGCGAGATGGCAGGCTGCACCTCATGTGTTTTCATCAAGCGGCTGTGTCTTGACGGCTCTCTATGGTGACGCTTCAGCCAACCACTCGCGCCCTGCCAACATGGAGGTATGCATGCTGGCCGACGCGACCCATGGCACTGCTGTTAGCGCTTGCTTTTCGGGAATTTTTTTAACCAGAAAAATGTGATATACGGCTTTGGGTTAAGCTAGAGGATCAGGTTCAATCCCATAGATTTCTGAGCAAAGTTGCCTGGTAACGAAAATAACAGTCTCAAATAGCACTCAACAGTGAAACTTGAGGCTAAATAAAGTTTATATAGGCGTTAAACTAAAAAGAAATGCATTCATAGGGATTTTTGGGCACTTACGCACTAACGACCAAAATAGGTATTTATAGGCACAATAAAAATGCTAAAAATGTCCTTCTTGACCCCTAATTCATGCTTATATATCAAACTGGTGCGATAGAAAAGCAAGGAGCAAAAAAAGCGTTTGCTTATAATCCGGCCTCTAATAATGACAATATTGCGCCTGCCAGAATTAGATGTTCATGCATTGATATAAAATGCCATTCCCTCGTACGATAGTGCAGACCGTAGCTAATCAGATGATGAAATCAATCTGTAATGGAAAAGAAACATCAACACAGTTTCTGGGCCAGGTTTAAGATTGTGCAATCACGTGGAAAATAAAAACTCAATATTAGCATTTAATTATAGTGCTTCTGTAGATATGTATTGACAGACCAGATTGCTGGAAAACAGCGAGCGCGTGCACGTGAGGCACGTGCCCTGAGGTATCTAGTGAAAGAAGACGACGACGTTCAGTCGCTGGCACCTGAGCATAGCTCACCGCGTGCGTCCGTGCTTGTTGTTCCTGCTGATGCGGAAAGGCACGGCAGAAATGCTCCGAAGTGCGAGGACGTCGTTCTTCTGCGGTAGTTGGACTGGTGCCAACAGGTACTCCAGGTACGTCTCAATTCCTTCTGGCCCGTGCGCCGTTGACGTGGCAGACAGGTGTCTGAAGGTCGACGGCCTGACGCTGGCCTGTATACACCACTTGCTACACCATCCGCCAACAGGACGACTGGAGCCACAAAAATGGTAGCTCACCGAAGCACAAACTGCGGCGGTTCACGAAGCGTTCTAGTCCTGGGGGGGCGGGGGCAGAATTCGAGCTGCCTCGACCACCCGTCGTCTTCCGCCTTCTCCCTTGAGCGCGCTCGTCCAATCCGTTGTGCACGGGCGCACTCTTCTTTTTTTTTTTTCTCAATTTGTTTTCTTGCTTGCGTGCCGTGCATCTTTCTGGTTTTCCTTTTTTTGACCTTTTTCTTGTCAACCCTGATAATGAGAAAAAGTTGTCTGGAATAGAGAACGTATACCACAACATTACTCTGGAAATACGCCCTGACCCCTGAGCCTCTGAAGAGATAGTTTTGTGCTCCCTGCTGTGTGGGGAAAAGAATTCCGATGTCAAGTTCCTGTGTGCTGTGCAATTTTTTTTCTCTTCGTGTTGTGGCTTTATGCAAGATGAAGCCGTTCAAGATGACCGAGATATATGATTTCTATTCAGCGTTTAACGTTACTAACTGGTCAATTTTTCAGTGTTGCGATGAATTAAGGACAACACTGTTGGGCATTGTTTTTTTGTATTTTTTGTTCATCTTGTTCCTATCGTGTCGTTAAGTAAGCAGTTAAAGGAGGATGGTCGAACATTTGCATGCAAAAATCATGTAACTTGGCAGAGAGCAACTTGACGAAGACTTTAGGCGTTCCAGGATGGCCGAATGTTAGAAAATAGTGAGTGCGTGCACGAGAGGCACGTGCCCTGAGGTAGCTAGTGAAAGAGGACGACAACATTGACAGAAACACTCATGCGCGTTTCGCTTGTGTGGCGTTTGTAGCCTACATGGCATGTTGATTATTCTGTGTGAGTAAATTATTTTTTTTATTTCAAGGTCTTGTGTGCTTCAAAGATGCCGCGATGACAACAAAATGATTAAGTACTATTAGTATGTACATTTGCTGATTAAGTAATAATAATTACAGAAGCGTTGTGCCAGCGGCCGCACAGTTCGTCTGCCCTCGGTGGCGGCAGCCAACTCTCGTCGCTGCAGCGGGGCACTGGCGGCAGGAGCTCATTCAGTGGAGTCGTGTGCACTGTGTTTGGAGCCTCGGGATGCCTCGGCCGTTTCCTGGTCAACAAGCTGGGTTAGTAATAGCAAACACTACATCTTCTGCATGGCAATTTATTATCACAAGCATGGCGCATCTGATGACTTGGAAAATTCCCGACAAGGTGGGAAAAACATCCAGCTGAACTTGTGGAGCACCGAAGTGGTGACCTTAGCAAACAGCGATTCTACCGAAGTGCTGTCTCTCCGTTACGAGATTAGGTTGTCATCGTAGTTCGACGACTCTGCAGGGGTGCCTGTACAAGCACGCATTTGGTAAGTGGTGCCACCACGAACCTGAGCCAATGGAGGGCTCAGGTTCGTGGTGGCGCCACTTACCCCCTTTCATGCTTAGCCGTGTGGGGTCTTGCCATGTCCGAAGATAAGGGGATAGTGAGGGTTGAGTTAATGCTGGGTGATTAGACCTTTAAAGGCCAACTCCGACGATTTTTTGAGGTCAGTGGATCTCAATAAAATTCACTGGGTACGTTCATTTGCACATTTGCATTATTCATGCCAAATTGCAGGCTTGAGAGTTCCACAGATTCTTTTCAAATGAATTTTATACCTTACCTCAAAATGCTCACCTTACTGCAACTATTAATGACAACATTGTGTGTGTGACATTCAGTTTTGCCTGGTGGAAGTGATGAACTGATGTGCCACTGCAGCATCTACTTGTCTGCTATGGATTGTGTGGGTTTGGCTGGCACTTCCTTGGTTGGGCGTGCGATTTCCTTTTAGTGTTGGTAGGCGTGCGATAGGTGCCAAGTGGTGTTGCGTTGGGAGCCACACACAATTCACCATTTATTCACATAGCAGTGTAAGCGTTTTAGCTGATCGCCTCGGACAGCGTGGGCAGGTAGTGCCATGTGGCAGGCATATGCGCAATCAGGCAGGTTCCGGCAGCGTCAGGCAAATCATTAGGTCACCCATAAAAGCACACTCGATTGGGATTCGGTTTTGGTATTGCGTTTTTTGAGTAATTAAAAGTTATTCTCGAATTTTTTTAGCATTTCAGTTATCGGGCACGCGAGAAGAGTGTCTAAAGAATACAAAAACACCATTATTCTGACATGGTTAAAAAATCGCCGGAGTTGGCCTTTGAGACCCTCCGGCAGAAGCAATACTCCCCTTTCACATAGACAGCACCTCTGGGCTGACCCACCCGGGAACCCGACAGTTGCCGTTTTCTGTCCCTCTCTCCATATCTTCGTCTTTCTCTCCTTTAGCCTTTGCTGTTTTCTACTCCCTTCCATTTACTTTCGTGTTTCATGGCGGCAAGGGTTAACCTTTTGTATCTATACTTCTTTGCATAAATCATATTTGGTTTATGGTGACCCGGCTACTAACTGCAGCGGATGATCACCGCGGGTTCATGCTTAGCGAGCCACAGGGCCACGACTCCGTCACTTACTCCCGTGTAGCGCACCGCTCCGGGCACGCTCAACTAATAAGGCGTTTAGTGTGGCGCGGCAAAACACAGTGTTACAATACAGAAATACACAACACTTCATTGCCTTAGGCGGCACCCCGAACAACAGTACAACGTCTGCTCCCGAAACGCGGGTAGCAAAGGCACCCGCACGCGGACGTTCACAATAAGGGGAAAACCGCGAGCACGTCGCAGCTGGCAAAGGCGAGCTTTGACACGCCGGTCGGGAAAAGATCCCTCGCGGCTATGCTCGCACTCTCGCGATGGCCAATGGGCCTGGTCGCGAGTGTTAGGGCAAACCTCAAACGCGTAGGCCTACGACAAGTGCGGCTCGGTGTGGTACGACCACGTCAAGCACTATAGGCACCGCTGTGGGCTTAGCGTACGCTACCGAAGCTAGCACTCAAATAAACACGCCTGCCGAGATGCCAAAGGCCACCCCAGGCAGGCTACAGTCCGGCGATTCCAAAAGGGGACGCGGACAAAGGAAAACATGTGCTTACCCGGTGCCGACCACGGAGAAGAGAGTCAGCTCCCTCAGCGCGCACGTAACCCGTGCTGCCCGCACGTGGCGCCATCTATCGCCACGTGCCGTTAGCAGAGCAGAAAAGCAAAAGGGTGTGGCCATGTGGCGGAATGCCCGCAAAATGGTCGCGGGCGCGCCTCAGATCCCCACAGGGTATACAGTAATACCTCGTTAACTCAAAGTTGCAAAAACCAGGAAAAAATTTCGAGATAGATTTTAAAAATAAGCAAAGTTGCATTAATCGCTAGGAAAAATGAGCGCTTTTCAGAAAAATTTGTTATAGGGCCTGGTGAGCGGCCCTTTAAGATAAGTGTTCTGTCTGTTTTTTTCTTCCTGTTTTCTTGTTTGTTTTTCTTTTTTTCTCTTATTGCTGTGAACATATATATGCTTTATTTATATGCCAACTCTTGTTTACTTATCCTTATTTTGTTCCATACTTGCACTGTTGCTTCATCTTTTTTTATATTTTTATGTTGTTTTTCTCGTGTCGCTCCTGCTTGGGTTCTTACTTGAGCCTGCAGTATGTCATAAATAAATAAATCTAATGCCACCTCTCAATTTAGCCAATGTGACGGGGGTGAAAACTGCTGCCTGCTGTCAGTTGCTTGAGCTCGTCTGTGTATTTGTTGATGGATTGTTGTAGCATCAATATTCGGCTCTGTTGAGATGATTGAAGTTTTAAACATGCTTCAAACAGCACATGTTGCTGCTTCTTTTACCGGGTTTGTGGTCGTTTTGCAACGATGTGAACGGCCTCGATATTTTCGTAACTCTTGTGAGTTTTTCAAGTTAAAGGGAAAGTAGAAAGAAAAAGAAAAGGCCAACTGGTTTCACTGCGAGCCTCGATGCTCACAGCCTACATACACTGTGACGAACAGTAAGCCTCCCGTTCAAATTAGCGCCCCAAAAAGCCATGAGTGGTTAAAGGGGGTAAATTTAGCAGGCAAATAACTAAGGCCTGTGACTGTATGCAGCACCCATTTTGTGTACAAATACAGCAACTTCCAGGTTTGCAGTTTTTGCGCTTAGTTCGTCAGCTAAACATGGTCGCTGTGCAAACAGTACCAGAACTAAATTAACAATGCGTTCTTCCTCTAGAGTAAAATGAAAGGACTGGTTTCAAAACGTTCATCATATCATTACACATCTGGAGCATTTGCAAAGTGCCTACATGACGTTCACATCTGGAGCAATTTATGTTCGGTCTTACTTGCTGATGGCGCTTTTTTTTTCTGCCCCGTCGCACCATGCTATCTTTTGTACTTCTCAAACACCAAAACGTAGAATAGTAAAGGGAACGTCACCTCCTAAACGGGAAAATTGCATATTAACACTGGTGTAATTTGCTAGTTGCTTGCCGAATCCATTCTCTTGATATTTTGTTGATGTTCTTTTATTCAAGAAAACAGCCTAAAATCTTATTGCCAGTAATATGACGTGCCTCCATTGGTGATTGAGCTAAGCTATTGAAAAACAACAATATTTTTCATCTGCTTATTCTACAGCGTGCTTTTAAATGAGATGAACAAGTTTCAGACAGAATGTAATGCAAGAAAAACTTTAAGGTAAAGTGTATCTCTGGAAATGTTTCTGACATTACTGAGAAATTTGTACTGAGGCTCTTGCTATAATACTTTTCCAACATGACACCAGGCGTTGCGCGCGATTACGCACAGCCAGCAATGTGAAGAGTGTAGTGTTGTCGTCTTTTTTTTAGATGAATCCTAGGTGGCATCACTTATACTAACACTAGTAACCCGCTAACAGAGGGCGCTAATGAGTATTTAGAGGCGTGTGTGTGCATATATATATATATATATATATATATATATATATATATATATATATATATATATATATATATATATATATATATATTGTAATGAATTAATGAATCTGAATAACGGACGCTCTGCTGGCAATGAAGAAGACGACGATCGGTGGCTGCAGTAGTAGCTCGCGCACGCCGTTCGCCATTTAGCCAGACCTGCCTGTTAAAGCTCATTTTGCCAAGCTGCGTCTGAACCTTTCTCGACGTACAACACCTCTATTTTAAGTGGTGGAGGAGCCGGGGTTCCCATCAACCTGGAACTTCGCAATCGGACGCTACCCTCACCGTTCACCATGACTGCTCCTGGCCCTTCTCAAGCTGCCTTACCAACGACAGTCTACTGTACTGGCGTGCCTCGGCAACGCGACCCACCAATTTTTCAGGGCAACGACGAACAAGACGTCGAGGACTGGCTCGTCGAGTACGAAATCGTAAGCGCTTCCAACAAGTGGAACGCCTGCGACCAGCTCACAAACGTGCGCTTTTACCTCGATGATGTGGCCAGCCTCTGGTTCAAGAACCACGAAGGCGAAATCACCAACTGGTCCGCCTTCAAGACCACCATCGCCGCGGTCTTCGGTCGTCCCGCCGTGCGCCGGCTTCGCGCGGAACAGCGTCTCCGTAGTCGAATCCAGCGCAGGGACGAGACCTTTACAAGTTACATTGAAGATGTCTTGTCTCTTTGCAAGCGCGTCGATGAATCTCTAACCGAGCGCGACAAAATCAAGCAAATCATAAAAGGAGTTGACGACGACACCTTCCAGATGCTCGTCGCTCGGAATCCACAGACCATCACCGATGTTGTCCAGCTCTGTCAGGAGTACGACGAGTTGCGTAAGCAGCGTGTCTCGACGCGCAGGGCCGCTGAAGATACGGCTGAAGTTTCCGCCCTTGTGCACGATGTCGCTGCTGATCACACCGTCTTACTGCCCCACATCTAACAGTTCATTCGTGAAGAAGTTGCGCGTCAGCTTTCTCTTGTGGTCGAAGCATCCGCGCAGTGACATCGTTAGACCCACGTCTACGCCAGGTCATTGAGACACAAGTCACGCAGGCACTGCCTCCATCGCCATCTGTTCCTACGCCGCTGACCTACGCTGCCGTCGTTGCTAGACCCCCAGCCCCACCTGTCTCTGGCGCATACAGGGGCACCGGGTCCTCCTACCCTACGACGCTGCCTACATACACGGCACCCCATCCCGTTTCGCCCCCTGCACCTTCTGTCGTTAACCCATGGCGCACCTT